GGCAACAGTTGTAGCTTAGGTTCTATCAGTTGACATGGCATCGACGGTATACTACTAGCCACGACAACATTAGTGAATACAAGTGTGAAGTGTCATAACAAGAATTATCACAATTATTTCTGCCCCTGATCATGTTAAATACTAGCAATTATACAACGATATAGTTAAAATTAGGTAAATGAGGAATATAAATAATCTACTTTTATGAAATTGATATATACAAGTGTAAAGTGTTATCACAGTAATTCTGGCCCTGATCATGTTAAATAGCAATTATGCAAACTATATATTTAAAGTTAGGTAAATGAGGATTATAAATGATCAACTTTCATGAATTTTTATGATAATCATAAAAATTTGTAAAGAGGCCTTTAAAGTTTCGAAACCGCTTTTCTCCCCCTTGTGTTTGGCGACGTCAATGGCGATGGAGGAAGAAGAAATTCTCTAATTACTCAAATCTAATCTAATCATGATCAATTTCTATATTATATTCTCCTTTTTATTCTTCTCTTTAATTGCAAAGAATTTCATTTATGGTGGATTGATATTTAATTTTTCTCTTGTTCAATCCACCATTACAATATCCGGTATAATCTCCGTGACTATGATCGATGACAGCAAATCCAATTTGAATCAAAGATCAAATGGTAAGGAACTTATCCTAACCGCTCTACTTTGAAAACAAATCACTTAGAAACCACCATGGTGTATCATCGTCACGGATCTGAAAGTGATGAAACTACAAAGGTATTTAAAGTTTTTGAAGATTACAATTCAAAATTTTTATAAGTGGTTTCTCGCTGAAAATTTAATTTTTTTTGTTGTATGACGATGTTCTTATAATCGTTGAAAATTGGCAGTTTCAGTTTTAGTTTCTTTTGAAAAATTCAATAGATTGGATTTTTTCTCAGAAAATATGTATAGATCCTATTTGGAATCTGACCAATATTATACAACAAAGAAATTTTCGATAAAGAATTGGGAATATCTTCAAAAAGAAGATAACCAAGTTACATAAGAAGAAGCATGATGGATGAGAAGAAGTGTTCTTCAGATTTTAATCTTTGTATTGTAATGTTTTCTCTTATATTTGCAATTGATTGTATTTCTGATATTTTCTGTATTTTATTGTAATTTGACATTTTACATAAATAAAATAGTTGTTAAAAAAAAAAGAGGCCTTTAAAGTTCGGACCATGTGGCCCGTGGGCTATACTGGACCCAAACAAGTCGGGTTTTCGGTTTGAATATCCAGGTATCGGGTAAACCCGACATCTAAAAAAAACTCACTTTCCTTTACAGATAAACCCTACCAAAACCTTGGCAACTTTTCCCTGCCTCTTCCATGTCTCTGGCATAAGGAATATTTTCTTGTTCATCAAGCCAACCTCTTCCTCACAAAAGATTTTCTACAGCAATTTTTCTTTTTTTTTTCAATTCTCTTTAAAATCTCTAGTCTCCGTTTCATCTCTTAATCCCTTGGAGAGGGAGAAAAAAATGGCTCAGAAATGTGCGATTGGTTTGATGTCAGCTCTAGCAGCTGCCGCGTCTCTCTCGAAATCGAACGTCGCTTCTGCAGATGGACCTCTCAACTTCTCTGGCTTCTCCACTTCTCCGCCTCCTCAGGCTCAGCATGGCTCTTCTACTCAGCCTGCACCTGGATCTGAGAAAGAATCTTCTGCGTCTGGCGAAGATTCCGATGCTCCTCCACGGATTCGGAACGATAATCCGAGAACGACTTCCGCTGGGTTCGATCCGGAGGCGTTGGAGCGTGGTGCAAAGGCCTTGAAGGGGATTAACAACTCTGCTCACGCTAAAAAGGTCTTTAAGAATTGAGATTGTGAATTAGGCTGTAGATAGATCTGATTAATGTGTTTTAGGGATGAGAAGTTTAATTTTTATGATGAAGCTTATGGAAGATAGGTTTGAGCTAAAAAAAAGGATATTCTATGGTAGATGCCAGAAAGTGTTGATTTTCTGTGTGTTATAAGTTATGCTTGGCCTCACAATTGAATGAATGTTTGGTTTGGTTTCTTGTAGGTATTTGAAAGTATTAAGACACAAGAAGAGACGAGGCAAGCTGAGTTTACTGCTAAGGCTCAAGAGTTTAAAGCTTTGCAATCCCAAGCTGAAGCTGTGAGTTCATCGTAACTCTTTAGCTCATTCTCAATATCTTCTACTTTACATTACATGGTCTGATTGTTTACTGCCTTAGGATAGTTGGGCGCATCTGGAGACGGTTTTTGATTGATTATTTTTAATGTGTTCTTACAACTCTCAGTTTACCTACTAGAATTGACCTTTTTGCAACTCCTGTTATAGTTTTGCTGCATCATTCATTGTTTGAGTTTGAAGATTCCTGATTGTATAGTTATGTTCCTGACCTTTTTTTTTCATTTTCGCAGGAGAGGCAAAGGGTTATATACGAGGAACAGAAGAAACTTGCTCAGCACCAAGCACAAACTAAAGCACAGATGGCTCGTTATGAAGATGAATTAGCACGAAAAAGAATGCAGGCATGCGTTTCCACTAAATAAAAATTATTGATTTTAACACTGAGGACTTATATCTTTCTAACACGTTATGCTGTACATCTTGTTACAGGCTGAGAATGAAGCCCAGAGAACAAGAAATCAAGAACTTGTGAAGATGCAAGAAGAATCATCAATCAGGAGGGAAGTAGCTCGACGAGCTACTGAGGAAGAGATTCAAGCACAGAGACGACAAACGGAGAGGGAGAAAGCTGAGATTGAACGCGAGACTATCAGGGTCAAAGCTATGGCTGAAGCTGAAGGGAGAGCCCGTGAATCAAAGCTTTCTGAAGATGTCAATAGGAGAATGCTTGTTGATCGTGCAAATGCAGAAAGAGAAAAATGGGTCTCAGCCATAAACACTACTTTCGATCACATTGGAGGTCTGACATTAGTAACACATTATCTTCTTCTTTTTTTTTTGCTTTAATTCATTCATAGTGGAAACTTCTCTATGGCAGTTTTAACATATCAGTAATAAGAGTCTAATAAGTAACTTGTATACTAGGCGTGTGTCTTTCTCGATAGGTGATTGACTCTTCTTTTCCCTTTTCCTAGGTGGGTTGCGTATGATTCTAACAGATCAAAATAAGCTGGTTGTTGCTGTTGGAGGTATCACTGCTCTTGCAGCTGGGATCTACACAACGAGGTAAAAAAAACTAAAACTGATTGAAAAAAGAATCCAGTCGTAAGAGTCTTGTTGTTGAAGGTTGAGGAACGTAGTCTGCTTATAAAATGCTTGTTGCAGAGAAGGTGCCAAGGTTATCTGGAGCTACGTGGATAGAGTCTTAGGGCAACCTTCTCTAATTAGAGAATCATCAAGAGGAAAATACCCTTGGTCTGGTTCGATTTCTCGTGTCTTTTCCACGTTGCGGGGTGGTGGTAAGGAGGCTGCATCCCAAAACGGAAAAGGGTTCGGTGATGTTATTTTGCATCCTTCCCTTCAAAAGAGAATCGAACAGCTAGCTAGTGCAACTGCTAACACAAAATCCCACCAAGCACCTTTCCGAAACATGCTTTTCTACGGTCCACCAGGAACGGGGAAGACAATGGCTGCCCGAGAACTTGCTCGCAAATCTGTATGTATTCTCTCCCCATCTAATGCCTAGAATAGTTTTTATCAATTGTGAAGAGTACATCAAGCTTGTTACTTTGATAATCATCTCTTCATTTAACTTATTCAGGGTCTAGATTATGCGTTGATGACGGGTGGAGATGTTGCTCCACTTGGAGCTCAGGCTGTTACAAAGATACACCAACTGTTTGACTGGTCCAAAAAATCTAAGAGGGGCTTGTTGCTCTTCATCGATGAAGCTGATGCATTTCTGTGCGAGTAAGTCACAATTACGATATAATAATCTTAACTCAAGAGTTTTAGTTTATAATGTGTTAAATTTGATTGCAAATCCTACAGGCGGAACAAAACATACATGAGTGAAGCGCAAAGGAGTGCACTAAACGCACTACTCTTCCGCACGGGTGACCAATCCAAAGACATAGTCCTAGCACTCGCCACAAACCGACCAGGTGATCTAGACTCAGCAGTGGCTGACCGTGTCGATGAGACTCTTGAGTTCCCCTTACCTGGAGAAGAAGAGCGGTTCAAGCTGTTAAACCTCTACCTAGATAAGTACATAACCAAGACTAATCTTAAAAAGCCGGGTTTGCTCCAAAGCCTTTTCAAGAAAGACCAGCAGAAGATTGAGGTTAAAGGCGTCACAGAGGATCTCCTCAAGGAAGCTGCCGCCAAAACCAAAGGTTTTTCAGGTCGAGAGATAGCGAAGTTGATGGCTAGCGTTCAAGCGGCTGTGTATGGTAGCGCGGACTGTTTGTTAGACGCGAATCTTTTCAGAGAGGTGATTGATTACAAAGTGGCAGAGCATCTACAGAGGAAAAAACTAGCTGGAACCGATACAGGTAACAGGAAATGAAACAATATAGACTTTTCATCAACATAGGTATCTGCAGCAGCTGTAGATTTGAACCCAACAGTTTGTCCTAAAAAACCTCAAAACCCTGAGCACTATTTTCAAAAGGGTTTAGGCAAAAGAAGAAAAGCTTTGATTTTTCAAATTGTTTCTCCATGTGATTCTAAAGGTGAGATTTTGATGATTGCTTTAGATTATTTATTCCTTGCCATTACAATCTTGAGTTGATCTTTATCATCACTCTTTGGAAAATGAGGCAATAGTGGTCTCTTTGTAAGATTATTATATCCACTTTTTAATATCTATATATAATAGCAAACTGAAAGTGACATCAGCATTTTTTTATAGGAAAAAAAAATTCAATCCAATGGTCATAATTAACTTGATTTTAAGATCTAATGGACCAAAAAAATTTTTTTCATATGATTGATGATGTCATCAAATATTTGACAACTCTTCATTGAAAATGCATATATTTCATTTTCATAGCCACAATCATATTTGTCATACATTTTCATAAGTTTAAATATTAATATTGACTTTTTAGAAGATAATATTTGTATGTGTCGTGACCGAAGAGGTATGAACGTATCGTGATTCAAGAGGTACGAACATGTCGTGACCTAAGAGGTATGAATGTGTCGTAACCCAAGAGGTACAAATGTGTCATGAACCAAGAGGTACGAACGTGTCGTGACCGAAGAGGTGCGAACGTATCGGAACCGAAATGGTGCGAACATGGCAGGACCGAAAGGGTGCGAATGTATCGGACCGAAAGAGTGCGAACGTGTCGGTACCGAAAGGGTGCGAACGTGTCGGGACCGAAAGAGTGCGAACGTGTCGGGACCGAAAGGGTGCGAACGTATCGGGACCGAAAAGGTGCGAACGGTTTGGGACCGAAAGGGTGCGAACGGTTCGGGACCGAAAGGTTGCGAACGGTTCGGGACCGAAATGGTGCGAACGGTTCGGGATCGAAAGGGTGCGAACGGTTCGGGATCGAAAGGGTGTGAACAATTCAGGACCGGAGGGTGCGAACAGTTCGGCACCGAAAGGGTGCGAACGGTTCGGCACCGAAAGGGTGCGAACGGTTCGGCACCGAAAGGGTGCGAACGGTTCGGCACCGAAAGGGTGCGAACGGTGCGGCACCGAAAGGGTGCGAACGGTGCGGCACCGAAAGGGTGCGAACGGTTCGGCACCGAAAGGGTGCGAACGGTTCGGCACCGAAAGGGTGCGAACGGTTCGGCACCGAAAGAGTGCGAATGGTACGGAACCAAAAGGGTGCGAATGGTTTGGCACCGAAAGGGTGCGAGTGGTTCAGGATCGAAAATGTGTGAATGTAACGTCACCGAAAGGGTGCAAATGGAACGTCACCGAAAGGGTGCGAATGTAACATCACCAAAATGGTGAGAATGTAACGTCATCAAAAAGGTGTGAATATAACATCACCGAAAAAGTGCGAACATAATGTTACCAAAAGTGAACGAACATAATATCATTGATACTTACAGATGCAAGTCATTAGAGTTAAGGCCGAGCCATCATGAGTGGTAAACATATTGTTCATGGTCGGGTGCTATGGACTATGATCAATAATATGGATCGATGGCTCAAAAAGAAGTGTATATGAAACAACCTTAAAGTTTTATTGTACCTTGTAATAAGTATAAAAATATATACATTCATATGTATGGTAATGAAAGCACATAGACACTAACATCAATTTTTTTTTTTTTTTTGAAAAATGGAAAGGCATGACTCCTGATGATAAATACTACACACCTATAGAAATGAATATACAATCCAATGTGTATCGTGTTAAACAAATTATGGAACTACTTTATAAAGTTTGTATGCCAAATTTAAATGAAAACCATTTTTAAAATTAAATATAAAAATAAGCAGAGAAGGTTAATTATTTATTTGTTTCCTTAAAAGACACTTTTAAGGGTATTTAACAAATCATAAAATATAAAATACTCCACATTTCATTTTATTTGGCATTCGCAACATTTCACATTAATTGAGATTTTTATTAAGATACACAACTTTTTATTTTTTTTGGCATCACAATCTTTAGAATTAATTGAGATTTTTGTTAAGATACACAGCCTTTCATTTTATTTATTAAGAAACACAACTTTTCATTTTATTTTTTTAAAGAGGCACAACTTTCCATTTTATTTTGCCTTTACAATATTTCACATTAATTGGCATTTTTATTAAGATACACAACTTTAGAATTAATTGGTATTTTTANAGATACACAGCCTTTCATTTTATTTATTAAGAAACACAACTTTTCATTTTATTTTTTTAAAGAGGCACAACTTTCCATTTTATTTTGCCTTTACAATATTTCACATTAATTGGCATTTTTATTAAGATACACAACTTTAGAATTAATTGGTATTTTTATTAAGACACACAACCTTTCATTTTATTTATTAAGAGACACAACTTTTCATTTTATTTTATTAAGAGACACAACATTTCATTTTATTTATTAAGAGAAACAACTTTCATTTTATTTTAGATTTACAACATTTCACGTTAATTGATATTTTTATTAAGAGTCACAACATTTCATCTTGATTGACATTCACTTTCATCTTGATTGACATTCACAACTTTTAGAATTAATTACGATTTTTTATTAAGGTACACAATTTTTATTTTATTTGACATTCACAATCTTTAGAATTAGTTGTGATTTTTATTAAGAGACAACCTCTCTTTTTATTTATTAAGAGACACAATCTTTCAGTTATTTCTTTAAAGAGACACAACTTTTCATTTTATTTTGTATTTTCAACCTTTCACACTAATAGAAATTTTTATTAAGAGTCTCAATTTTTTTAATTTGGCATTCACAGACTTTTAAATTAATCAAGATTGTTATAATTAGTGGATTTTTATTATGAGAAGACACAACTCTTATAACTGTTTTAAATATTTTTAAATTATTTTTTCTGAGACACAATTGTTTTTATAATGAAAAGATGCAACTTTTAAACTAATATATTTCATTTTTAATGAAGAGATATAACCTTTCAAAAATTGTTATTATGAGAAGACACAATTTTTACAAACTCTTTTAAATACTTTTAAACTATTTTTTTATGAGACACAAACTTTTTTATAATTAAAAGATAGAATTTTTAAAATAATAGAATTATTTTATAAAAAGACACAATTCTATTTATAATAAAAAGATGCAACTTTTAAACTAATATATTTCAGTTCTTATGAAAAGATACACAACCTTTAAAACTAATATATTTCAGTTCTTTAAATAGACACAACTTTTCATTTTATTTTGTATTTTCAACCTTTCACACTAATANACAATTCTATTTATAATAAAAAGATGCAACTTTTAAACTAATATATTTCAGTTCTTATGAAAAGATACACAACCTTTAAAACTAATATATTTCAGTTCTTTAAATAGACACAACTTTTCATTTTATTTTGTATTTTCAACCTTTCACACTAATAGACATTTTTATTAAGAGTCTCAATTTTCTTTTTATTCGGCATTCAGAGCCTTTGAAATTAATCAAGATTGTTATAATTAGTAGATTTTTATTATAAGAAGACACAACTCTTATAACTATTTTTAATATTTTTAAATTATTTTTTGTGAGATACAATTGTTTTTATAATGAAAAGATGCAACTTTGAAACTAATATGTTTCAGTTCTTATGAAAAGATACAACCTTTCAACAATTTTTTTTGTTTTTCATCTAATGGTCCAAATAAAATTTTTATGCAACTTTAAAAATAATAGATTCTTTTTAAATACACAATTATTTTTATAATGAAAAGATGCAATGTTTAAACTAATATATTTAAGTTTTTTTTTTATGAAAAGATACAACCTTTCAACAATTGTTATTTTGAGAAGACACAATTCTTATACCCTCTTTTAAATACTTTTAAACTATTTTATCTGAAACATAAACTTTTTTTAATAATGAAAAGATGAAACTTTTAAAATAATAGATAACTTTTTATGAAACTAGACAATTCTATTTATAATAAAAAGATGCATCTTTTAAACTAATATAATTCGGTTCTTATGAAAAGATACAACCTTTCAACAATTTTTTTTTTTGAAAATACACAATTATTTTTATAATGAAAGATGCAACTTTTAAACTAATATATTTTAGTTTATTATGAAAAGATACAATTTTTCAACCATTTTTTTGTTTTTCATGCAATTTTCCTAAGAAATGTTTTTTAGACATACGATATTTATGGCATTAACATATTTTTTTTTTCAAACAACCCATCTTTTTACATGAAAGAGTCATACTTTTTCATATTTGAAGGATTACAATCTTTGGTTATAATTGTTTTTTTTTTCTTCTATTGGTCTTAATATTTTTTTATACTTAAATTAAAATTGCTATGAGAAGTTATTTTTTTTCAAACAACACATCTCTTTAATTTGAAGAGTCATACTTTTCCCTAATTCTTGATTTTTAAAAATTTTTTTGAAGAGTTTCAGTCTCGTGGTTGTAATTATTATGGTTCTATCTAATGGTTCTGAAAATGTATTTGGTTGAACTTCTTTTTCCTCGCAACTCTTGAAAATATTCATTTTAAAACAAAACACAACTCTTGATAATCTATCAATGTACCTTTTCAGATTACTATAAATAGAATGTTTTACAGATGCAATTTTTTAAGAAAATTTATGTGTTTTTTTCTAATATAGGTATGATTCTTAGTACTCTTAAATATAATATTTGATTCATTATATAGTTTTAAACGATCTTCAAAAATTTAATGTGGTGTCTGCAAATATAATTTAATAGGTTTAGTTTCAGCGAAACTAAACTACCATATCCAAACCAATTTGGCTGTAAGAAAAGAACCAATTTTTTTTTTTTTTGTAATCTCTTATTCTTCTTCTGATAAAGTCTATTTTTTTTTGTTTTTCTAACCCAGTTTGTATGGAGGTACTGAGAGTCATAGATTTAAAAATGTCGTTCTTTGCATGTTAATTACAGTGTTTTAAAATATATTATATTATTTAATTAAAAGGTTTAAACTGTTCCATCATTTCAACAAATTTTAAAAGTTTGTCTTCTCATATATAAAAAGATAAAAGAAAATGACTGCAACTTTAATATTATAGTTTACTTAATATTGTTATGCTAAACACATAACATTTAAATTTATACGTTTTCAAACACAAATTATACTTTCACTCTTCTATTATATAAGATTATTTTTTAAGTATTGATTTTCGTACAAAATAATTAGTTTATTAAATGATTCAATATGATTGACTAACAAATATAAATTATATAAAAATTACTTTAAAAAAAACATCTTTTCTCCCGCGCGTCTACGCGCGGGGTGGTTTCCTAGTATGAATAAAAGAAGCTTTATATCTAGTTACCAGAAACACAACATCATTAGCCATCCATTATTATTTAAATCTTTCTATCTCACTCACGAGCAACCACAACAACTTGCTTCCCAACGTTCTTACCATGGAAGAGTCCAACAAGAGCTTCAGGACCTTTCTCGAGTCCTTCAGCTACATCTTCCACGTAAGCTATCTTCCCTTCTTTGATGCACGGGATCACAAACTCCAAGAACTTTGAGTATTTGTCGTAGTAATCAAAGACTGCAAAGCCTTGAATACGGATACGCTTGTAGATTATGTTGGATAGGTTGTGTACACCTTCGTGGTTCTCAAGATTGTACTGTGAGATCATTCCACACACAGCGATACGCCCGTGAACGTTCATGTTTACGAGCACTGCGTCTAGCATTTTGCCTCCTACGTTCTCAAAGTATATATCAATGCCTTTGGGAAAACACCTGGAAAAATAAGATAATCCCTCTTATAATAGACATCTAAAGAGATATAGATATCGAAAGTAAAAGGTTACTGAACCTTTTGAGGGCAGCAGCTAGGTCTTGTTCTTCCTTGTAGTTAAATGCATCATCAAACCCAAACTTGTTTTTGAGGAGATCAACCTAAGAAAAAGGGTAAAGTCATTTATTTTCTTGGACACAAAACCAAGCCACATAAATCTTGAAATGATGATCAGTGATGTCTCTACCTTTTCTTTACTTCCTGCGCTTCCGACAACATAGCAACCCATCATTTTAGCAAACTGTCCTACAAGCTGACCAACTGCACCAGATGCAGCCGAGACATAGACCGTCTCTCCTTTCTTCGGAGAACAGACTTCGTAGAATCCAGCATAGGCGGTCATACCAGGCATACCTGTGAGGAAGAGAGAACATAGAGCCATGAAAGATAGTAGTATGGTATATATCAAGACATACTAAACTCTTAAGTTTAAAGCTCCACAGATTTAATCCACTCTTGTCTCTAAGATTTGTTAAGACATATAAATTAGTGGCTATGACTTTCAACTTCAGGATCACTATCTCAAGCCAACACTTGTAAGCTACTTTTCTGACACTACCTAATGATTCCAAACAAAATAAACCACTCGGTAGCAAGGCCGAGACAAACATACCGAGAAGTCCAGTGTAGTAGGACAAGGGAACATCGGTGTTCTGGATCTTGAAATGCATGTCAGGAATAGGAGTAACAACACTGTACTCCTCCCATCCAACGACTCCCCACATCAAGTCACCTTCTTTGTAGTCTGGATGTCCAGATTTTATCACTCTTGACACTCCAAACCCTAAGATTGGCTACACACAATGAAAGAGTCAGAGATAGAGAGAGAGATGGAAGCTTAACGATGAGTTTTGGTTCGTACCTTGCCAGGAGTGTAAGCTTGAGCAAGACCAGAAGCAGCTGGCTTACCCATGCGTGACCTCATGTAAGGATCACATGACAAGTATAGATTCTTCACAAGAACAGACTTAGACCCCTCAGGTAGCTTAAGCTCGACGGTGGAGGTGGTGATATCAAAATCAGTTTCCTTTGGGAAACCACTCACGTAATCTTTCAGTATCACCTGCTTGTTCCTCACCGTCGCTCTGTCATCTCCTCCCGTACTCATCGTTTTCTTTCTCTGAAATTCACTTCTGATTAGTTTGGTTACTTTCTTTCTTCTCGAGGACTCAACTGCTTTTATAGTGAGTTCTCGAGCCACAAGGATTTTAAGTATGACGTCACTGCTGAATCACCACTTTCTACTTTCTTCATGATTTGAAGTGTGAACGCGGGCTTCAATTATTTCTCGAACTATTCTTGTACTTTCCACTTTGATAAACTTTCATTCCTTTTCAGTTTTCACATTTATTTTTCATGCTTAAATTTCTCACTAGTGATTTTGGAAGATGATGCTATCTAAATTTTAACTACCTAACTACTCAACGATTCGCTCATAATACAGCTAAATACCCTTACACAACGTCACAAACCTTAAGGATATTCTCTAGAAATGTGTAGGAAAGTCTATTGTCACGTTATAAGAGGCACTCTAAGCTATGTACAACGATTTAATAACCCAACTAGTGTCTCTTATTTATATTTTAATATTTTTAAGCAATAAATGTGTGTTAAAAGACTCTATTAAGAGACCCAATCATTTATGTCTTCCATTGCAAATCTCTTATTTAAAAGTTCTTAAAAAAACACTTACTAGCTTGGTCCGTTTTCATCATGGCCAGCAATGAGAAGGAAGACTCCAAATGGCCGAGACTGTAGTAACACGGATGAAGAAACAAAATCAGTAGTCATGTCAAAAATGACTAAAACATGGATCATCAAAGTTTTGTTCCAGCAAACTAGCCACGAGATGTATGAAAGAAACTAGAGAATCCCAATTAGATTATCAGTTACTACCATTGAATCTCTATTGCTTTAATGACAACAAGTCTCCGAGTCATAATATGCATACACAGGGGAAGTTTATTCCAAGTCCCAACCTCAGTATACCACAAATAATCGAGTAAGCAAGTAAATATGATCAAAACTCTGCAATAGTCTAAGCAATTCAATCTACCAACATCACTATAACTCGTTGCTTTTCTTACTCTCCCTTGGTCCAAATCTAACAGAAGAATCCAAAACCATATAACATAATAAGCTGACAGCAAAGAAAAAGAACATGTAAATCCTGAAATCACTTACACTGAAACAATGACTCTGGTGTTCCCAAACTCAGCATAAGCAGATCCAGAAGCATAACTCACAGCACCTGCTTGAAATACTGAAACCAAAACAAAAAAAAAAACAATTATTTTTTCACCAAAGAAGTAAACTTTAAGTTGAGTTAGTCTCGCAAGAGAGCTCTTGAACCTGAAGTTAGAAGCTAACATGTTCAATTAGCAAAAAGATCAATTACAAGAGTATCAGTTGAAATCAAACAAGTAAAGACAACATCTTTAATGAAAATCTTCATAACATCAAAACAAAGCCAAAGACACATCCTTTTTTGATCAATCTTCCATTGAAACCCCACATGCAGAAACAGAGAAATAATCAAGCTTTTAACACATACCTCTTCGATGTGAGAGAGATCGAGATGAAGACAGTCATTGATCCAACCGAGAATCTCATACCCAGATTCTTACTAGAACCACACTGAGACAATGACATAAGAAGAAAATCAAACACACATAACCCAATGAATAAAGTAAATAAAAAAAACTTGGGTTCTTCCATGACATACATACAAGGGAGTCAAGACTGAGACTTGCATCAATTCGGTTTCTTTTTTCCAGACAAAGAACTTGGCTGCAAGTTCTTACAGGTCTCAGGAGAAGTGTTATCTGAATTCAACATCCTTTTGCTTTTCTCTTAAAGCAGAGGCTGAAAGTGAAATGAGATTCTCAATTTGGCAAATTGCAATTTCAACACGGAGAGAGCGAGAGTGAAAGAAGGAAGCTGACCAGGGGGAGAGATTCCACACTTGAAACAGTCGATCTACGTTATCCATGGACGTCTTCCCGTTAAGTTTCTTTGCCATTGCTCTCTCCTTTTCGCCTCTTCTCTCACAGATTCACAAAACAAACGGTGGGGTGAAAGTCGATTGGGCGAGCGGCGATTGAAGGGAAGAGACGCGGTCGTCGACGAGAAGAAGAGAATCCAGGCGTGATTCCGACGAGAGAGAGAAAGAGATGAACTCACAAAGAACAACACGTGTCTCAGAAACCCGTCTCTTGTTGTCCCCAAATAACAAACGTTCTTTCGTATTTCATCAAATTTTCATTTTTCTTTAATGCTAATAATACAAAGAGACGGTCGTAGGAGACCGCGTTAATGATGCTCTAAGATAACACATAGAAGCACCAGGATAGAGAAACACATATTTTCCACTGGATAGAAGAATTAATAGGTAAACACATTCACGTTTTTGTGTCTACATTTATGATGACATGCTGGTGACTACAGACCAGATTAAAGGGTTGAACTAAAACATATCCATAGTTTTCTCTAACGACTATAGAATCAAAAAACACACACACATATATATATTGTCTTTGTGTAACGTTAACGATTTCGTTTGCTTCATAATTATCTCATGAATGATATTGTAAATGCGTGTTTATATATAAAATATTAATCTAGTTTATGCCTTAAGACTATGACTTTGAGTCATGGTTACGTGCAAAACTAAAGTTGTTGTTTTTTTTTTTTTTTTATAAATGAAGGTTATTTACAATATTGACAAAATAATTATATATAATTCCAACAAAAATAAATTAACTACTTATGCATTATCAAAGATATACTGCCCACAATTTCTTTTTAAAAAATTACAATCTCTCAGTAACCTCAACTCTAAAAATGTTTAAAACTATTTTTTTCCGTAGTGACTGCAAGTTCAAATATTTGAAAACTGTTTGCTTGTTCTAAAATCCTATTTTCCATCAAGAGACTCGTCGTACAATGGTCTAAGAATATTTTTAAAACAAAAAAGCTTACAAATTTATTAAACTAAATCACGATTAATGATTTTTCAACAAATCTATTTTTAATAACCAGTTAGAATTTATATAAGAAATAAGTAGTTTGAATTTGTGTCTTTTTATTAAAATATAACTAAAATAAAAATTTTAAACTATTTCTATATTCGGTGCAATAATCTGTATTGAAATTAGGCAAATCAATGGATTCATTAGTTATTTTGAGTAAGTCAACAGGAAAACCTTAAAGTAATTTCATGGCACAAATTCTTAACCCTAAATATTTCATAAGTATCAACAAAAATAATTATATTTAAATGGATGGATCTCTTAACTACTGAAAAAGTTTTTCAAAAAACTTCAAATGAAATATTTTATGATACTTTTGAGAGAATATTATAATATTTGAAAATGAATACATTTAAATACAATTTTTATAACAGAAATCAAATTTTGATATGTTTTTTTTTATAACGGAAACTAGATTTTGATATGTACATCTGTGTATATACCATATATGTACATAAATCTTATGATATTAGTATTGGACTATTGTTTTAGTAAATTTTCTTTTGCTTTTTTATTATATTTTAATTATATACAATACTGAACGTTGTTTTGTATTTTCGGGCTTTTAGCGCATAGAAAATAATTAGTAATACAATAAGTAAATAAATTTTATATTAGTCATGTTCATTAATAGTTTAAAAAATTAAAATCGTAATTATATATAATATAAGCAGATAATTATTTTTGGATATAAAGAATATATATTTTAATATTTCCAAAATGGTGAAAATACTTTTATATTGTTTTTATATCATATTTGTATTAATTTTTATATATATACAAGTAATTACAGATAAAATTAATTAATTATTTACTTAAAAACAATGTATTAAATATATTGTCATTAAAACAATAAGTAATGTTGATCATAAATAAAATTAATTGATTACATTTTCAAGGAAGATTTTGTTAAAATAGTTAATACTGAAAATTGGAATTAGTTTGTTTCTAATGACATTAAGTGTAAATGAGTAACTTAAAATTTATTGTTGATAGTTATTTTATATTGTTATTTCAACTCTAATAAAATAGATACTCTTTTATATATAAGTGAATTAAATTTCAAAATAATAAAATAATGAAATTTAACTAATAGACATGTGAGGAGGAAAAAAACAAATAATTAAATAGTTAGAGGAAAGAAGATGAAAACAAAAATTTCAAAGTCACTCCTCCCCGTCCCCTGCGTCAATCTTAAGCTGTCTTCAAGAACGCTCCCTTTTCTCTCTCTTTCTATAAATCTCCGCACAGTGAAACAGTCTCTTTTTCTCTCTCTCTCTAAATTTTGTCTCTCTCTCTCTCCCCTAGGGTTTTCGTCTCCTTAACTGTTCGTACTCTTATCGTACTACGACTTTGCTCATCTCTCAGCCATGGCGGCCGAGAAGCTAAGAGACTTGAGCCAGCCGATTGACGTCGCTGTGCTCGACGCCACTGTTGCTGCCTTCTTCGTCACCGGATCTAAAGAAGAGGTTGTTCAAATCTCTCTAGCCTTTTGAACTTGTGGTTTCTCGTTCATCAGAACATATTGAATTGAACGAATGATAGCATTGATTGGCTCAAACGAGTTGGATTTACAACTGAATCGTCGTTTAGGGTTTAGCACTTTGATACGTCTTTGGGCTAATATCTTGTTTTAGAACAAATTGAACCGTGCTTCTTCAACACTTTTTACGGAATCCGAGTTTTCTAATCTGGATTTGATTGTCTTAGGGTTTTGGTAGTGTATTGAATTACAGTGGTTATTGAGATTTTTTCTTTTGGTGAAACTAAGTCCCTTGCGTCGATGTCAACATTCACCTCTTTCACCTTTAACTAATCGACATTGTTTTCAAACATGTACAGAGAGCTGCTGCAGACCAGATTTTGCGGGATTTGCAAGCTAATCCAGATATGTGGCTTCAAGTTGTTCATATTCTACAGAACACAAAGAGCCTGGATACCAAGTTCTTTGCTCTTCAGGTAAGTTTCATCATTTCTTGTATCTTGATACCCTTTCTGGTATTTATCATACTCATCTGTTGATCTATCCTTGGCATAATCCTATATGATGCTTGATGTTTTGTTCCAAACCATAAAAAAAATCAGTTGCGAACAATCAAGTTGTTGGGCTCTGGTGTCA